CAGCTATTAGTAGCCTTAGGATTTGAGTATAGAATCTGTATAGATGATCTTCAGGGTGGGCTATATATAATAGTGTTAAGGAGTGTTGCTGTATGGCACAGATAGGGTACACAGTCGGTCTAGATTAAGATGGGGGACGTCAGGAGGTATACCCTCTTAGGACGTACCCCATCGGGACTTAGCTATCTGCGTGCCCCCAGGTTGAGGGCAATCCGCCTCACCTCAGACCTGTAGCAGACCCGCTTCTGCAATAACAAGCAACCTTCCCATCTCAACGTGCTCGTGGACAAGAGTGTCTACGGCAGAATCTACATCTACTACATCTAGGAGGCAAGCCAACGTCGGGCGGGCATTCCTTTAGAGTTGTCCGTCCAGAGTCTTTATGACGTGGCTCTGATGTAATGTTGATCTTTGCTGAGTATTTTTCCAAGTATAATTCTTTGTTTTTGACTGCTTGAGAATGTGGTGACGACGTTTTCTCGAGAGGGGTGCTTGTTAAGACTCTTAGTGAAGTTCCATTGTCATAAGAAGGAGTAACCTGAAATTTGAGTATTCGATAGATCCGGGAGTTGAGATGATTTGTGGATACAAAAGGTGAATGGTTTTTGAATTATTGCCGTTTTACTTGGCGATATATGTACGGAGGATCTCGTAATCAATCGTGTCTCGTACCGAGTAGGGGGGCTGTTTGTGTGTGTACTCGGCAGGATACGAATCTCCGAGATCTCCGGGGGTTACGCAGATAGATATTGTACATGATGGGTGTGATGGACTTAACGCGTAGGCTCTGCTTGCCAGCCCATGTCTCTCACTCGTTAATAGTTAATCAAGGAACTTGAGTCACTCCTTTGTGCAACACGCTCTCGACAAAAGCCCGCGAGCGTGATAACATAGTACACGCGCCGACACCCCAATCAACCCTAAAGACCGATGAACGGCAGTACTATCCAGAAGGTAGCCGATCAACGGCGTGATCGCCCAACCACACCCTGGACAACATGGTATTAAATACGTATTGCTCCAATCAATACATACTACTAAAAATTGGAATCCATGTGTGTATTGATGGGTTCAATACGACGGGAGAATATCTTCCACTACATACATATGGCTACCAAGACATAAGTTTACAATTGGTATCACTTGATATCGTTTGGTTCAATATACTAGGAGAAATTCGATCAACATATATTGGTTCACGCAATCAATGTGTTAGTGGAAATGGTATCATCAATTGATATCGCATGGCTCAATGCAGACGGAAAGTAAGTATCGATCGATATGCGTGCCAGGCAATCGATACGTCCGTTCTTTTGTTTTGGTTCGTCCCCCATGCATGGAGCTAACAGCAGTAACTCTGCTCATGCATAAAATTGAATTCGCGCGGAGCGCGAAAAAGTTTTGGGGGCATGTTTTCTTTCGCGTTGAAAATAGTTACAGCGTACGAAATGTATCAACATAGTCATCTTTTGAACGATAAATAAATATTGATCGCTACGATCATCAACGTATTTTTGCTCCAAGATGCATCAACCGAACTCGGTAAAAAAAACATATCGTACCTTGCGATATCCATCGACGAACAACTGAAAGCGTGCTGGTCGAAGCAATACATATCGAAGACTTGTAGTTTATCCTATCGCGGGAGCAAAAATGTGTTGCGTCGTTTGTGTCAATCTATCGTTGCTCACAATACATACATATCGATGCACCCGGAACCATCATATTGATTATTACTGTAAAAANGTTTGTGTCAATCTATCGTTGCTCACAATACATACATATCGATGCACCCGGAACCATCATATTGATTATTACTGTAAAAATACGTTTCGACTATCGAAATTTCAACTTTATTGTCAGACCAATACTCGATTAGCCGAAGGATTGTCCAGGGTGAAAGGGCCACACCCTCGACTCACACTACACGGGCCACCATTCCTCGTGCTCTACACGTTTTTCAATCGACAAGACGAATGGTCAGGGCAATCAATGGGGGAAATGGTACAGCCCCGCACATGGCCACCACTACTCTAAATGCAATATATTATGCATCCCGTAGTAAATCCTATACTGAAGTATAATAATGGCCGTATACTAAAATCAGTACACTCGGGGAGCGACAGTAGGTACGTACCGGGTCATACCCACTGATACATACTGTATACCAGATACAATACATTTATATATATCGGGAGAGCAGTACACAACAACTTGTTGTTTGTATCGACACGCATTGCAAAGAGCAACACGTTATTGAACATCTCATCGATACATATCGTGAGAACCAAATGCTTTTCCGTCGATGTATTGCATCATATTGACCCGTGCAGCACTCTCCAACATGTGGAGCAATACCGATCGGTCGTTGCAATGATTTTTGAAAAAAATGCTACCGTGCATTGAGCCAGAGGTAGATTCACGAATTGCCAATGGATGCATATTCCCAGAACGCTACCCTCGCAATAAAACACGTCAATGCGTATTACAGCCACAAGTACGTGACGCATTATGATAGGAACGTATCGATACGCATTGACTGTATTGTACATTGTCCAGGGTGTGTCGCCCACACGGGCACGTCGAGCGATGGCTTGTCGCAGATGATTTTTCCTAGTCATTGTAACAGTTCCCCCACGATACACAACTGCAGTAGTCAAGATTGCAAAGGTTCCCGTATCCAATTTGCGCACCATTAACAAATTACCATCACTTTCCAATGACATGCATATTCCAAGAAAAATCACCCGGTGTCTGCTGCTACAACATACTTGGTAGGCGACCGGCAATCGAATGCTCCTAGAAAAAACGAGGCAGCTTCTACAAGCAGTACTCCCACAATCCACCGAAGAACACCACAAACAGGCTTTACAGTTATCGGAGCGAGACGAGGAATCGGTCATGTCATGTCAAACTGGCGGCGCGATTTCTCCACACACACACGACGTCATAATCACCGAACCTAACCCCGAGGCCTTCTATCACATACGGCGGCCATTTCTCTGCCAGCAAACGCCTCCGTACACCTACATAGGTACAGGTACAGCGGTACTTCCCCAAACGAAAGAATAATATTCGTTAGCCCCTCCCCTTGCCTCACATACGTCACACCTACGCGCGCTGCCTCCCTACGCCACCTCCACCCCATGCGTCGACGGAGAAAAAAAAAGTCGACCTGCTGTGTGTATGTATCCTTTGCTCTGCAACATTGTGTCTGTCAATGTTTGCGAAGGCACAACACATCGACATCTTTCGCTCACTGCGCCCTCTCCATGGCTCGCAGCGTGCAGAAGACGAGCATGCGCCACATCTTGGTCATGAAAACCGCGGCATCTTCCTCCAGCACCAACTTGAGCTCGTCAAGAATCGTCTGATGTAAAATACAAATGAACAAGAAAAATGAGTAAATTACTTCATTTACATGCCGTCGGGATGGCCCGATCGGCGAGGGGGGGTGATGCACCGACGAACGTCAAGCAGGATTCGTTTGATACATGACGTGCCATTCAAGGGTAGATATAACGGGTAAGATTGAACACCAAGCAACATTCATTTGACCCACGGCGTACCATTCCGGTGTGGTGGACGTGAGACGGGCGTAGAGATTAAGATTGATCACGAAACGTGTCATTTCGCAATACAATTACGTTCAGGACCAGCTGATTGTCCTATTGTACGTACGTGTCACACATCAAACGGATCGACTACGTTTTTGGGGATCGAAAACTCCTCATCCATACACTGCTGTACTCGCACGACTCCAGGAGTCTGTATCGCAACCACAGGATTCCCATGACCGTCTGGGACCAAGCACATGGTCATGGAATCCAGTGGTTGGGAGACAGACTCTCTAGAGTAGTGCGAGTGCGAGGACGGATGTAAGGTTGACTACAAACGTATGGATGAGAAGTTTTCCGTCCTCACGAAGGTAGTCGGTCTGCCTAAGCATGCCCCGCTGCGGGGAGCTGGTCTCAACCTGGTGGCGCTAGCGCCAGCCTTCGATGGACCGTGGGGGAGTGCGTCTATGGTGATGTCGCCCATGCCAGCCAGGGATGAATCCCTCGGGGTTTGCCCAACACACCAACCTCCGATGTTCGGGCAGCCCCAGTTCTTTGGGCCGCAGTGTAGCGGCAGAGGCCCTCAAGGTTTTCACAGAGGCGGAGGTGGAGGGACGAGCCAATACGGACTTGTGGGCCATTATGGTCGCGGTCGAGGACGTCGCGTAGGTGGCCGCAAGGTTCAGGGTACGGATAAGGCGATGCCATTTTGCGGAAAGTATGAAGTCCGCGAACTGGCTGACATTCGCCTGCCCCTTTACGGTTTATTCCACTGCAAGCAACCAGGACACACCAAGAGGAACCGTCACAACCCGTAAGGACGACAAAAAAGGGTTGAGAAATGTTTGTAAGGGAAACCGTGATTGACCTTGGTATAAACAACCGTTTCGGAGATACTGGGTTCAAATGATGACAACAATGTCAGTGAAGAGGATGTGAGTCCCGTCTCTTTACACGAGGGAATGATGCGAGGCAAGAAGTTGCTACCCAGTGAGTGACCCTTTGTTTCTATAGGCTTTGTTTATGTAACAGTGGGCTATCATGGGCTTCTTTACCTGTTGCTGCTTGGGTTTTCTGGGAGACGGAAACTCTGAGGAGTAGAAAAAAAAAGACATTACGCAAATAATGTCCTTCACTCAATTAGTCCCGCTACGACTGACGTCCTCCCATGTGGCCAGCCAAAACAAATGTCGCGCAAATCGTCCAACGAAAAATGCGCCCACCCACCCCACCTTAAAACAAGATATGAAGTCAAGAGGGGAAAAAAAAAATCCACCCCACCTGCGGCTTGGCCCGTTGGCCCAGCTTGGTAAGAACGAACTCGGTGAGAGTCTTCTCTTCCTCCCCGAGGTACTCGATGATCTTCTTCACAATCCAAGGCCGCATCTTGGACTGGATAATGTTGTGCTGTTCGACCATCTGCCAGTTGATCTCGTACGCGAAAAGCTCCTCGCGGTCCTATAACGTATGGTCGCCGCGCACCGACGAGATCGACATGTAAAGCGAAAACAAAGCGTCCCACGTCAATCACTACAACGCACAATACGATAGAAATCAATGGCTTCGGTTCTCCGCTAAAACTGTGTAGTGTAGCACACTGTAGGGGAGCGAACGGAATCGACAGATGTTCCTGCGAACCCGCTGGTTGTGTGAGTCAATGCGGTCCATCAGTTGGTATGACTCCGGGAACGCGTGCTCCCAAGCGAACTCCGACCTCAAGGCGTAAAACCCTTGCAGCGGGAAAATACGGCATCACCCGCGAGACCGACCTTGGGGATGCTTCCGACCAGCTCTTTATCCCTCGCCTTGCCCTTCTTTTCCACGACAGCGGCCACCTTGCTCTCGGACCCCTCCTTGCCGGCATCTGAGGTGGGTGAATCGACAGCGAAAGGCAAGAGACAGGCAGATAGCGGTACCGATGAACACACGCCAAGACGTGCGGTTAGCCCGGAATGCGGCTGAGTTCGGAGATTTCCTTGCAAAGATGAAGAAAGCACGCCTTCCAAATATTGGAACAAGTCAACAGCTGCTGCTGCTGCTGCTGCTGCTGCTGCTGCTGCCGCCATCGTGCTGCAGTTGTCGTGGTATCCAGTTTAGAGCTGTTCTATTGTAACTGTTGTGTGCCCCCCTTGGTCTGTCCAAACCACGGCGAAGAGACCTCATCGCACGGCGATGATATACAGAACGCTCCGGGAAACCTCCGACCGCTTGTGAAAGGTTGTATCTTCGTGAAATGACCAAATCTAGATGATACACCTCGCGTCAACACACCACGGGTACGCCGGACAGCGGTGTGGCATCCTTGCACGGACTGAGACTGGCGATAACAACGAGCAGCAAAAAGCGACCGCCTGTTTGCGTTGCTCTCGTTGTCCGCGTCTATCTTTCGGCCATTTAATTTAAGTATAAACAAGTGAGGGAAAATACACGACAAAGGTTGGGCATCGTGCTGCCGGACCGACCGGTCATTCTTGACGCCAACAACGTTAAGGGCGATGACACCATACACCGTAGGGCGCACCATCAATCGACTCCTACCAAGCAAGGGGCAAAGGTGAAAACAGCAACTGAGCACGAACTCAACCCGACGTGTACGGAGCAAGAAAACACGCCATCGCCGCCGCAATCGTACTCGAAACGGGCACCCCCTTCAGCTCTCACCGCCTTCCACGCCCGCCGTCACCGCCGCCAGCGTTGACGCCTCCGCTGCTGCCGGCTTCGCCTCGTCCTCCTCGTCCTCCTCGTCCTCCTCCTCCTGGTCGTCGTCGGAGTCGAGCATGCCGTCCCCGAGGGCAGCGAGAACGGCCTTGCGCCTCCGGAGCTCCTCCTTTCTCTGCCTCTCGTCCACCGCGCTCGCGGCCCCTCCGTTCCCTACCGCCCCTCCCCCGCCTGCGGCCGCCCCCGCTCCCGCCCCGCCGTCGCCGCCGCCGCCGTCGCTGTCGTCCCCGTCGTTACCGGCGTTCTCTAACGCAGACAGTACCGCCAGGCGCCGCTTGCGCGTCTCTTCTTCCGCGAGCTTCGCGCGCGCGGCCCGCTTAGCCTCCATCTCCTTATCCTTGTCGCTGCTGCCCCCCCCTCCTCCGTCCTTATCTTTGTCCCCGCCGCTGCTGCGACCACCGCCCCTATCGCTATCGCGGTGGTCGTCGCGCCTGCTATCGCGGTCCCCTCGGTACCGGTCCGGAGAACGGTTCCTGCCGCCGTCCCGGTCCGAGGAACGCTCCCGCCGCCCGCGTTTGCGCTCCCTCGAGCGGGAGCGGGAGCGGGAGCGAGAGCGGGATCTGGACCTGCGTCGGTCGTGGCCCCTGCTGTCCCTGTCCCTGTCCCTGTCCCGGTCTCTGTCCCTGCCGTTCGGCGAGGAGGGTTTCTTGCCGTCTTCGTCGCCGCCCTTCTTTTGGTCCGCCGCGGTATCCTTGTCGTCGCGGCTCTTCATCGCGGCCATCGCGACCATCTCCCGCGCCTCCCGGTCCTAAAGCGGTGCGGGGGGGGGTGTTGGGGAGCCGAGGTTGGGAGAAAGAACTACTGTTGCTAAACGAATCTGATCTAGACGGTTCGTGGAATGCACATAACTTGATGCCCGTACCTCCAGCCTTGTCGTACCTAACGGACAGATATTCGGAAAGAAAGCGCAATCCGAAAAAATTATTTGTTGCTCACGTGCGAAACCACATGAAATTGTGTTCCCTGTGTGGGGGATCCAACAGCGAGAAAAACACCATCTGGGGGGAGGGGGCGTACTCTTACATTTTGCATGCCTTAGCGGTTAGACTATTGACCACGCGTCCGCGAGAGGACGGAGTATTGTTCCACAGGACCGATCACCAATGGCCGATCAAACCTTCCTCAGAGAGGGGGTGGTTGAAACAAAAAGCTCTCGTCGAACATTGCAGCCGAACTCAAACACGACCGGCAGCCAAGCCGGTCTGTCACGGACACACTTGGCGCCGCCGCTACTCAACGAGATGCTCCTTGTCGGACAGCAGGCACTTGGTGCAGTATGGGCAACAAAACTGTGTCAACCACGACCACAACAAACGCCCCTGTGGCAGGCACACACAAGCCCACCAATATCCACCACCAGGCCATCAAATCTCTCCAAGATTCGGACACGCTCTCATGACCATTCACCAGCCAGACCAAGCACCACTATGTACTGTCGTGTCGTAGATACATGCATGTGTCTCTCACCCGAGAAGCCTGCTCCCTCCGCTTGTTGTCCTCTTCCTTTTGCTTCTCCCGTCTTTGCGCGTCCTTGATCTTGCGCTGCAGCTCCTGCCGCCGCTCGTCCTCCAGCTTCTTGTCTCTCTCCGCCTGTGCCGCCGAGCAGAAAATCATATTTTTTTTCTCTTAGTGTAACACAACGATCCATCTCTCTTATATTAGTCTCAGATAAACACTCGATTTCCACAGGTATTTATTGGTTGACTCCATCAAATGACTGCTTCGTTTTCACAAAGACGGCACGCCCTACCTACCCCCGCACCTGCTTCTGCCTGAACTTCTCGATCTCGCTAGTGATGAGCTCCTCCTTCTCCTCGTCCTCGTCCTCGCTCCACCCCGCGCTGCTGAGCAGCATTGCCGCCCCGTCGTACCTAACCCAGTCCTTCCTCGACTTCCGCCCGCCTCCGCCGCCGGCGGCGGCCTGCTGGTACCCAGACCCACCGCCACCCTTTCCGCCGTCCCCCTTGGAGCTACCACGGCCCGAGCGGGAAGGGCTGCTGGCGCCGACGGATACCGGGGATTTCCCCCCGTCCGAGTTGACGGTTCCGCCCTTGGATGCGCCCTTGCCGGGAGCGCTGCGCTCGCCGTACCTCACGAGGACGGAATCGATCTGAAGGGCAGGCAGTGTGTGGGTGTGTAGGGAATATTAGCACCGGCCGGCTGACCAAATGAAAGTACGTTCGTCTCAGCGTGGCTAAAAACCGGAAATCGCTTCCCAGCGCCAACCATGATCTGGGGCCCCGTGAGGGTTGTGGCGTGTGTGCAGGTATGTATGCACCTTGGCCTTGACGGCGTCGAGAAGAACCTGGTGCTTCTTGGCGTACTCCTCGTCTTTCGGGCTCAGGAATGCCTCCAGAGAAGGCTGTTCTTTCTTGCCGACCTTGACCAGAATGGGCTGTCCGGCCAGCTCCAGGTCGTTCAGCAGCTATGTAGCCCACGAGACGGAGCGATACACCGGGGGCGGCGAAAGGGTAAACACATAGAGCAGCACCCAAGGGAGAAAAACGAAGGTTATCAGGGTAGACACATTGGAGCTAAGCTTAAGTCGAGCCCCACAGCGGCAACGACAAGGATGCGAAAACAACGCAAAACCAAGTAGACCTACCCTCTGATGGTATTTCTGGAATTCGTTGTTTCGAGAGCAATCAGAGGAAGCAGGGATTGAACTTGCTGCGCCTTCTTTCGGGCTTAGCTTGTGACGGCACGGAGATTCGTTTTCTCGATTAAAGTACCTTGCAAAGCAGGCGCAATGGTGGGCCGAGATCAGAACCATTGCTCAACGCAAACAGATACTCTGTGCAGTGGGAACTTAGCAGGAATTCCAGGCCATCCCGCTTGGTGCCAGCGTCCAGCGGTATTGGTTGGCTAACATGCTGCACTGGACCCGACCAAAATGACGAGCATACCTGCACCGAGATGGCCGCCGCCTGCGCGTTGTGGTACGTGCAGAACCCGAACGCCTTGGGCAGGTCTGTGGATGGATCCACCGCTCGGTTCCACTTCTCCACCCTCCCGCAGCACGTGAGCAGCTCCTGCACCAGCGAGTTGTCCGTCTCGGGCTTGAGCTTGCCGACGTACACATTGATGCTGGGCCCCCCTCCGCCGCCTCCCATCGACGGAGTAGATGCGCCGCCGCCGTTTGTCGCACCCCCGCCGCCGGTACCGTTCGGCCCGTTCTTACCACCGCGCCCCATGCCCATCTTGTCAGGCCCACCGCCGCCGCCCCCGCCGCCCCCGCCGCCTCCCGGATGGTTTCCCATGCCCTGGAGGGCTGGAAGGTTGGGGGGGAGTCGCGGAGGTGGAGGGCGAGCACCCCCTGCCATGTTGGGGCCCCGGCCACCCATGCCTTTTTGCGCCAACAGCGGAAGGGGCAAGGGGACGGGGGGGCGTTGAGAGGGTAAGCGTTGACTCAGACCCGTGGGTTATTCATAGCCAACGAGTCAGGAAACTACCACCTGCACCACCTTCGGGTGCCACAACCGAATGCATGGCGCACGCTATTTATACCTGCCGCTGCTGCTCAAATACACGATGGTGCTCTCGGTGCTGCATACAAGCTCTCCGTGGAACGCAACACGTGATATAACACAGCAGCACGACCCCCATGATGTCGTGCTCCCGCATAGGTACACCGGCCGAAACGCCCAACAAAACCGCTCACGAAACGCCCCACCTTGGTTCATCCCCATCCCGCCCATGCGCATGCCGGGGCCCCCCATTCCCATTCCCGGGCCCCCGCCCCAACCGGGTCCCCCACGCGGCATGCCGTGTCCGCCCATGGGCCCCCCCATGCCGGGGCCCATACCTTCAAAGGGGGTAACGTTTGGGAAGATCATGAGGGGAAAGAAAAGGGTTGAGGCATAAACAAGGGGTTTGGCGGGAGTGATGACAACGAGACGAAAGCATTGAGGAAACGGCGGAGAGGGAAGCAGCTCGAGGGTAAAGCCGATGGGTTGTGGAAGTGACGGATATACCACTTTGTGCCTGTCAACTTTTGACCATAAGTGCCCTGTGTGCCTGGCGGACTACCACGGGCTGGGAATTTGAGATGGGATACGATGTGAGCACCAGCAGCCGTGACAGAAACAGCAACAGAGGACGACTACCAGCACCTGCACATCGCCGTGAGAATAAACAACTTCTTTCGGCTGATCATTCCCATTTTTGCTTTCAACTTATATTTCAGACTACACCCGACACAGAACAACACAGCGACAGCCCATGCAACGCATCACTCCCATCGTTTCCAACCCTCGGAAGTTGGATTACACCACATGGCTGGCAACCCCCCCCCCCCCACAGGTGATCAAAACTGCGTGCAACACAACTTACCGGGCCCCATGCCCCACCCCGGCCCTCCTGGATGTCGCGGCCCCCCTCCGTGCATGCCAGGACCCATACCTGTGCGAAAACAAAGGTGTCGTTATGGTTTGGGTTGCCTGACCACGACAAAACCGCCTTGTCTAACTGCATCAATACCAACACGCGAAGTACGGACAACATGCGCATCTGTGTTTTTCCTCAGCAGGGTTGGGATTCTTCCGCAAGAAATGGTAGTCAAAACGGCACTATTGAACAGGACGGTGCGCTTTGATTGACCCATCGTAACACAACCAACACAGGTAACGTGGACTGCTGTGGACGTGTCTCCCCTTCCCCGCGAAGTCAACGGAGATCTCCGAAAAGCCAATGGAGATCGACATGCACCGACAGGCGCAGGCAAAACCGTTCTGAACGTTCTGCGGGTGCAGACGGAAGGTGGGGTAAGTGGGTTCGTCGGAGACGCGCCTATCAACGCACCGATTTTGCCATTTTTCGGAGACAGCGGGCGTAGGCGTTTGGATCGGCTCGGCAGAGTGAGTGCTCTTGTTGGCTTCAAACGCTCCAGTAAACAAAAAGGGTCTGCCTAATATGTGACTCGCCCTCGTCAACAAACTTTGTGGTGCGAGAACAGGTCTCTGTTGGGTAAAACAGACATGCCGAACTCGCTAAAGAGACACAGCATTTTCATACTGCTGGAAGATGGCGATCTCGTTGTCTCGTTGGTTGGGGGGTTCCGTGGTGTAGCGAGTTTTTCACGCACGTACAACCATCGGGGGCAGCTGGACCGCTAGGTGCGGTACACATCGGTTCATCCAGTTTTTCATCGCCCCGCGATCCAATCCGAGGTGACGGGGTTTGGTCGATCTTCATCGCATGGGGCGTTCGTAAAGCGGCTGAGGCCTTTCCCTGCGTAGAGACGTCGGCGTTGCCGGTATGTGCGCCCTTGGGAGACGTGCTGCTGGCAGTGCAGCTGTCAAGGTTGGTTCGACAGAGTATTTGAAAAATATTGCTGTCTGTTTGCAATGGGACTAGCGGGACTAAAGCTGTGAGCATCGCGCTCGTGGGCAATCACGCGTGTGAGATCTAGAGTCTACTTCACAGGATACGAGAGAACCCTTACGTTTTTTTTTTTTTCCTCCCATCATCGGATTCTGTCGTCTGCCCCTCTGACCCCTATCCTCCACTTCTACTAGCTAGACGACCCGACCGGGGTCACATAGGAGGGGGGGGCTGGACCCCCTCCTGCGGTTCCTGCCTGAGGTATTTTTATCGCGAGAAGGGTACAGCATTCCCTTCCCTCGCGACTTACGAAGTCGATTATGGTTTACTAACAACGAGCTTTGCAACGCGTCGCTTTCATCAATGACCAGGATTTTTACTTAGTGAGAAAACAACTCACTCTGCCGGGACTCGAACCCATGACCTGGCCCTTAGCAGGCTGTGAGGTTACCCACTAGACCACCGGGGCGACCGGTGTATACGTATCAAACTGCGAATACCAGGCATTCCTGTCGCGCGGCTAAAGCATTCGCCAATACAGCAGCGCCCCTTTCAACGTCAGGGAGTATCAAAATCGAGAGAGAACACGGGGAGGAAATTTCGATTGCAGTCTGCTGTAGATCCCAGCGCAAGTTTCATGGTATGCCGGTCTTTGGTCGTACCAACGACAGCAGTACACCGACTACACGATGTTGCTGCTGTTGATTCTTCCATGGGTGAATACGACAGGCGACATCACGGCGCCGGGAGAGAACCATCCACTTTTTCTTGCCTCTACAGATTACAGATGGGCTTGGGTGCCCTTCGAGATATCATCTAAACACCGGATGCAACCACGCATCACCATCAATCATACCACTCAAAGGGGCGAGTGCCACTATGCCGCCAACAGAGAGGGATGGACAGAAGAAGGCAGCATGGTAACACTTGTCTCTCCCGGTGCTGGTGCTTGCTTTGCTTACCCCTGCCGGGCCACATGCCTGGAGGCGGCCCATATCCTCCCTGGTTTCCGTTGGGCGGCCCGGGCGGCCCTCCGTAGTGCCCCCCGGGCGGGCGGGGTGGACCTCCTCCTTGCATCTTGTGCCTGCACGCCTCCTTTGCTATGTATCCCAACTCTCTTCCTCAACAAACGGCAGCGGTGGTGAGAGCACGAATGCGTCTGCTGGTGGCGTGCCACCTCTGTTTCGAGGGTTGGGGGCATCGCGAAATCAACAACGGTTGAGGGTGGGTACCCCTTAGCTACAGCGCAGCTGTGCTGGGTGCCGCGCCATCGTGATCGAAGAATCAGCCAAGGTAATAAATCGAGGAGGGCAGGCGAGAGGAACGAAGGCGCGGAGAGATACTTTTGCAGGGACAGGTGCGCTTGCGTTGGGCGTTTCATTTCGAAAACTATTGCAACACAGGCAAGGGAACTAAACGCCGTCGATGTTCCTCGGTTTGCCCTCCGGTGGCCGCATCGTTTCGCGTAACTCTGTGGCCATCCCACGAATTCATAGTAGTGCCACAGGCAAGCGTGCATAGCGCAGAAGTGCGAAGCAGGTGGCACTAAATTGACGAGGCATGTAGCCAGACATCGGTGTGCACGGCTGTTTGCAGTCCAAGCCCGTGCCCGTACCGCCAAACAATGTGCACAGAAGTAGTCGTCGTGTGCCATGAATTCTTCGTAAACACGAGGCAACCTTCTCAGGAGTCAGGAGGGCCCAGAGCTTGGAAAGGTGCACAAGCAACAGGCAGCAATGCAATCGTAAGCAGAGCACGCAGAGTGCTCCGAAAGATACGACCTCATAGCCAGGCGTCTGTGTTCTCCTTCACTCCACGATGACGGAACTCAAGCACAACCCGCCACCGCACGTCGGCCGGAGAATCGCCGGCCGCGCCGGCGCTATGTTCCGATCCACACTATTCCGGTCGCCACTGCTGGAAACACAGGGTGCACTGCCCAGACACGCAATAGCAGCAATTCCCTCGCACGATGTGGAGACGAGCTGTAGCGTGAGAGCTCTCTCCTCCGCCCGGCGTGAATGCTCTTAGGCGTCTTCGTTCGATACCATGGCTTGGCTCCTGTGTGATGCGAGATATCACCCCCCTCCCCTCAACGTGCATATTCACTCGCGGCCCCGCATATCCATAATAGCAGCAGCGAGGGTGCCAACCCGAAACTGCTTTACACATTTACATGTTTCTCGCCATGTACCTCTCGTTAAGGTGTTTGAAAGATAACTCGTTGGGTATTGACATCATCTCTGTTGTGGAGCAATCGGGCATGAGCGATTGGCCCCGCAATCAATGTACCCTACAGTCTAATCTAGAGGACACAGCAGTGGTGCCTTGCCTACCCCCGCTGCCTTTTGTGTATCGCGAGGTTCGCGCTGCAACGTGATTTCCATCCAGGCACGAAGGTGCCCCGTCGTCCTGCATAGCCTTACTTACTCACGTCGGTGGTGCAGTATGTATTACTCATGTGCTCTTTGAGCAGGAGGGGTTTGTGGGGACCGGACACGGACGTTTTTTTTTACTCTGTTATCGAAGAGAGCGGGAAAGATCGACCACACGCAGGCGTGTACCGCACCGCCGAGGCTGAAAAGGTTGTTTTGTGGCGTTCCTCGAATGCGGGCTCCGGGTAGCCGGGCACGTCCGTGTGGCCGCTGTGTCTGTGTCGAAGCTGTGGCCATTCCCTTGTGCTACTGGTGATGTCGCTTCTACTGCTGATATTCTGCTGTTCCACAGCTGTTCTACAGCAGTAGTGTATCCACCCTTCGCTCTCGAGCAATCTTGACCTTTGCTCCGAAAGACACGTCCCGGAGCACCAGTTGTAGCACAGAGATACTTTAACAATGCCCGACGGCAAATCTGCGGTGTGCACCATACCGCACGCATGTTCACAGCCCGTCATCCCTAACAATTCTGACGGTGACATTGCTGCTGCCGACCGATAGTCTTGACTTCGTCTTGACGCAAGGCCTGCGTCGCGGACGGGGGCAACGGTTTTGCGGACCCCCCCCCCGCTATCAAGCGACCAGTCATGCCTACGCACGTGCTTCCTGCACACCGCGCAACTCCAGGGTTCCTATTGATTGTGGTGCGCTGTCATTGCATGGCCCTCAGTCTGTCCGCGCTCTTCGAACCATGCTCCAATGCTCAACACGACTCGCGTCGTAGACGGAACCAAGCCTTTCAGTAGCGGTCGACACCACCGATGTCACCATTCGATATGTTGTGGCTGACGAACCGTGATCATGCATGTGGCTTGGCACGCACGACAGATTTTTCCGTCGGCCTAAGTCATGGTGTGTGGCTACACAGCACGCACTGTACAACTCCCCCCCCGTCCTTTTACCTCACGGCGCTTCGCGCTTGGTGGTGTGAGAGCGTGAGAGCCTGGTCCGGTGAGAACCCGGCGTGCGCCGTCTCGGGCTTGTAGGGATGCGAGGTCAATGGTCTCACGACTACGGCATTTACGCCCCCCCCCTCGCCCCCCCGGTGTTTGCCATCGGGATTGGGTTTTCGTCGCTTGGCAACTACGTTGTAAAACAAGCCAATTCACTTCGTGAACTCGGCAACCAGGTTACCGTTTTTTTTTTTTTTTTTTTACCTCCGGTTTTTTTTTTGGCGGTAACCATAATGGTGGTCGAGTAGATCATGTTGTGCGGGGTGGAGAACCCTCACTCCGCGCAAGGGGGATGATCGCACCACGTGGTGTTAAAATGGTCAAGCACCCTCGAGGCAGTTACACAGTGCTCACAACTGTCTCTGGAAGTGTAAGCACCAGAAAATAAATTAATTCATACGCAGCTGTCATCCGTACGCAAGGAAGTAAGCACAAGATGCCGAACACCCTTAGCAGGATGCAGCGCACCCTTCATGCGACTCGCCGAATATCTCACGGCGCTTCGCGCTTGGTGATGTGAGAGCCTGGTCCGGTGAGAACCCGGCGTGCTCCGTCCCGGCTTTGTAGGGATGCGAGGTCAATGGTCTAACGACTACGGCATGCACGACTATGAGTACCCCCCCCCCCCCTCCCTCCCCCCCCGTCATTTGACCGCGGCTTCCATACACGTTTTCTGTTTGGTCATCCTTGCAGGTCTAAGTAGAAAGCATGGCTCTTCGGTTGGCCGCGGAGAGGTGCTGCGTAGGGAAGACCGCCACCCGGTCCTTTGCTACCGCCGCCTCTAAGGCGACCGCCGCTTCCGGTGAGTTGTGCCGCAGCATCTCCGGTAGTTTTACGGAAAGATGCCGGTGGTTGTGCCGCAAGATCTCCGGTAGTTCTGCAGAAAAATCTCCGGTGGGTTGTGTCGCAAGATCTCCGGTAGTTTGCAGAAAGAACTCCGGTAGTCGCGCCGCGAAATCTGTTGACATGCCAGGGGCCATAGTGAAGGAGAGGATGGTGAGGCCTAACACCAGGGTTTGCGTAGTTGGGACACGAAATGATTATTGTTACCGTTCCATCGCCAGCGTTCACTGCTGCTGCTGCTGCTGCTGCTGCTACGGCTTTGTCCGTCGTTGCTTTGGGGTTATACCGTTAGTAGTACACACGATATTTTGTCAGTTTGCATACGATTTTCCACAAACGGGATCAAAACGCCTTATTATCCGGCGGATCGTCACTGAGCTAGGAACTTCGGCGGCGTAACAGGCGCGCGGTTGCCTTTGATGTCACGCTGGCAGAATACATCAACCATCGATTGTCTCCTGTTCGTTGTTTGCGACGGAATTCCCAAGGGTGGGCTGCCTAAGTGTTGACTGTTGTCTTAATGACTTCCGTTTTTGTTGCTGCTCTATTCCCTCCCACGCCACACACTTCAGCGAGCCACGACCCGCCGCTGAAGCTTTACGGCATCCCCGCCCGTTACGCGAACGCCACCTACTCGGCGGCGTCCAAGGCCGGGGAGCTGGAGATCGTGCAAAGAGACCTTGACGCCTTCCAGCACGTAAGGCAAAAGAAAAAAAAAGCGAAACCGTCAATGCCTTGAACTTGAACTCTCTGTGCTGTATGTGGTACGACCGTACTGCTGTGTTTTTTTTGCATGCGATGAAAAATAGTTTATGAAATCCCCTGATCGTCCCCCTCCCCCCACCCGCGCGCGTGTTTGTAGATCATCCGCAACAACGCCAACTTCAAGGCGTACCTTACCAACCCCACGGTGTCGCGGAGCGCAAAGGTGGAGATGGTTGACAAGGCCTTCGACGCTAAGTCCAAGACCTCTTCCGTGACGAAGAACCTGCTCCTCGCCATGGCGGGGAATGCCAGGCTGGCGGACGCCGAAAAGGTGCCTAGGCCTTGTCCGTGTTGTGCGGCCTTCGCAAACGGTATCGGTAGTAGTGGTTATGGTGGAATATTGTCGTGTAGTGCTAGTAGTCGGTAGCGATGATTGTGGTAGAAAGATTATCATTGTTGTTCACAAGCGGTATCGGTAGTGGTGCTTTTGGTGGAGATATGAGCATTGTGGTGGAACGGTGGTCATTGTGAAGTGTGTGCCGTAGAGGTGTCACTTGTTTGCGCGAAACTCTCGGGCCTGTAGCCACAGGCATGTAGGCCTCCGTTCTCGAGGTCGCCGCTACAGCATTCATGTGGGAGAGGTAGCTGTTGTTGTTGTGTTCCAACCGCAGTGCGGTTGTTCTCAGAATGCACGGCGCACGTCGACGTTGTCGTCAGACCTACGTCTGTTTGGCGGAGACAAGCGGACCAAACCGGGGTACAGGACAACGAGAAACGGCACCGCTATAGAAGCAATGCTCGTTGAAACCACCGGACCTGTCAAGGGAGCCTCGCCCCGTGAAAAGTACCACGCAGTTTTTTATTTTAGTCTGGCATCAATCCTATAAGGCAAGCAACAGAGTGCGCTAGTTTCTCCGTCTCTCTCCCGCGCGCACTTGGTCCAGGTGATCGACGCGTACACCCGCATGCTGAAGGCAAAGAAAGGGGAGATCGATGCCATCGTCACTACCGCGGAGCCCCTTACCCCCCAGCAGGAGAAGGCCCTGGCGGCCGGCCTCAAGGCGCAGGTGGGTTGTTGTTTTTTTGTCTCCCTTTTCTGGAACGTTTTGTGTGTATGGCATGAAACCACAGACAAGTTTTCTGGGATGGATTGAAGCAAAGGTAGAAGAGGGTGTGTGATGTTTTTTGGCGAGGCGTATCGACACAATCAGGCTCCGAGTAGCCTAACTGATGCATGTGTTTTTGAGACAAAAGAACGCGTGCAGTTTTGTGTAGCCTTCCACAAGTTTTACACGCAGCTTTATGCCCTCGAGTTTGTCGCGAGCGATGTACCACATCGTGTATCACAGCCGTGTGTTGACATTCGCATGATTCTTCCGTATACTCCTGTGTGCGTGTTTTATTTTCGATCAGATTGGCGCGAACGAGACCATCGTCCTCAAGACGGAGGTCAACCCGGCGCTGGTGGGAGGCTTGACGGTGCAGATCGGGGACAAGTTCATGGACCTCTCGATTTCGAGCAAGATCGCGTCCATGAAGGTGCGTCGCGCAGGATGTACTGCTGAAGGATAGATCGCCAAGGCGATTAACAGAAACATATCCATGTGTGCAAATACCACGCTAGATTTTCTCCGATAATCCCACGCTAATATTTCTGCTACAAAACAATCCATGTGTATGACGTCGATGTAGACACAGGTGGACAAACGCGGTCACTATCACCGCGGCGATAAATGCCTTGTGCATAGTCAGGGGTACATACGCCTCACAACGCCGATCCTCTCGCTAATCTCACTTTTTTGCTCCATTGAGGCGCCCCTCCTGCACGCCCCCCCTGTACTTAGCGTGTGGTGTTTCCCGCGAAGTCCTACCGCCTTGTTGCCGTTCTGCAACACGTTCCCAGAGTTGTTGAATCAAGTTTTGCTTGCCCTTATATTTTGCATGCTGCTGCTGGATGACTCCCCCCCCCGTCAAGATGTACTCCTTTCGAAAGAATAACGAGCCTCCCCATCGCGGCCCTGGCTTCGCTGCCCCTTGCTGCTTTGTTTCTGCAGACTCTCATGCAAGACTCGGTCGCGAGCTAAAATGGTCAGGATAGGTGGAGGCATCGGCAAGGCGCTTTTTTCTTGGAATTTAGGGCTGCTGTGAACGTGGTCTTCTGGGCGGGCGGGAAATAACGGCTTCTGTTGGCATGCTGAACTTTTTACGGCACCTCATGCGGATAACACCGACTCCCGTGTACTCCAGGCTTATGTTGCGATGCATCTCGCCCGAATTTACCGTAGGGGTGCACTGGTACGGTAGGTCCTGCCGCATGACGCTTTAGTGGTAGGACAACGGTAAGGGCTGCGGAGGACGAGGCCGTGTATTTTTGTTCGCCAACAGCCGTGTTCCTGGTGCTTCGTTTTGGCCCAATGAGGCTGATCGGCGAATACGGCAAGAGTTTTGGTTTTTGTCGTTGTCGAAAATGAACAGAGTGGACATCTTCCTTATTGAAAATTGTCCTGCTGTTACAGCATCTGTTGTTGAAGGGACTGGTCCTCGACGCGCGCGTGTGCACCGCTGCGTTGCTGTTATGGTGCTCCAAACGTACCGGATTGTGTTTGATGGGCGTGATGCTTGACCCGCCATCGAGGCGGACGACTTCAAGACCCTGCTCCATTCCACATCGACATGTGGTGACGTTGTTGAGATGTGCGGAACTACATACACCCTCGCTTACAAACCATGTACGTACGAGGACTGATGATCCCGTTCGGCAGCAAATTTCGCAAGGCTCCTCTCGGGAATTTTCCCGCGGTACTCTCCCGCGGGATTTCTACGGGAACGGTAATTGGTAACGTTAACGTGATAATTCTCGGTTACCGTACCCATCCAAATCATCACCGAGCAAATGGCCTTCTCCCATTCCCATCCAAATCGTTTCCAAGGACATGAAAATCCCTTTGTTCCCACGCAACCAATTACCGTGCAAAATGTCGAAATCCCGTGGCTTTTGGTTACCAACCAAGCAATTACCGAGGTGATGTAACGTTACTGGTACCATTCGGAAACGCAACGTGTTCTACCGCATTCATGGCTGAGGGGGGTGGCTGCAAGCTCGTGGAACTGTGTGCGGCGGGTTCGATGCTGCAGGGCCTCCTTTTCTCTTTTTGCTCTTCTTTTTTATGTCTGTTTTATGTATCGATCCATCAAACGAAAGGGGAACATTTTTTTTTGTATGTCTTTGAGTCTTTGAATATTGGTTTTGAGTATTGCCGTAGCGTGGAGTATTTTTTTGTTTGTTGTGTTTGAAGGGCTCGCCTGCGGTGTGACGCAGATACGGTACACTATGCTCGATATGCGTGTACGTGGTAGCTGGTGGTTTTTGCATCGTCTGGCAGATGAGTTTGGTGTTTTCAGTCCTCACGTAGCTGAGATATGGTTATCGATCAATCAAGTGATGGAAATTTCGAGGTGTCGCTTTTCGGTATCTTGACCGCGAGATTTTCGCCTGTAGACTAGTCTCAAAACAATTGAAAAACGAAATGCGATAGGTGCCATTCGTCTGTTTCGTGTTGTTTGTGAAACGCACTATTTGGATGTCGCGCCCACCGCAAAAAGAACGCAACACAGCGGTTACAGCAGTAGTGCATCGCTTTGTGGAGTGTTTCCATCCTACGTTACCGTGCATGACCGTCGTGGATTACCGTGGTGGCCCCCTCCCGCGGCATTACAGTGGTACCGAGTTACTACCCACATATTCCCGTACATTCCCATGATGTGGCTAAGTTCCCGTACGGGAGTTACCGTGCTGGGCGGTTACCACCCAAATATTACCGTGTATAGACTATTACAGCAGTGTTCGCTGATTCCCGTACCAATCATTGCCGAATTGAGAAATCGTTCCCGAGAGGAGCCTTGTTCAGGATTTTCTCGTCGTCGCGTGGATACCGTTGGGGGCAGCGAGATGATGCACGCTGTGTGTTTCGTACACCTACGCACTGATGCATATTCATACCTAACTCTGAAACCGCGCAACATACCTGCAACTGAAACGGTTACAATCAGAGGCCACGCGAGGTTACCCGTTACCTACCCGTTGTTACCCGTCGGTGTTAGTTGAACTGGTTCGTTAAAATCTTCCCCTATTAGAGTAACGGCGGG